CGATGCATCCTGAGCTGCAGACTCACTGGTGCTTAATTTATGCTAGTGTCACTTATTGTAAGTTGTTAGATTTATTAAAATTAAAATTTCCATTTATTTGAATTACCTTTTACCTTTTCTGTTCTAGTAAACCAAAGCTTCCTCATTTTCAAAAGCCAAAGAACTGACCCACTCCTGATTTATTTGCTTCAGTCTCTTGTCAAATAGCAGCTGTCTGCTTCCATGTGTCTGTAAAACCATCATCCATTTGCTTTTTCTTCGTGTCCACATCTGTCTCAGCTGGTAGAATGCTGTGAGCTGTAGCAGCTTGCCTTGAAAAATGCTTTAGGATGATGCTTGGTGGGAATGTTTACATACAGTTAGAGCAGCTTACTGATTTTTGACACCTGCTCCCTTTGTAGAATACTAAATTCTCATTAGTGTCATGATAGCTAGGTATATATCCTTAAGTGACTGAAAGCCCACTAGATACTCATATTTCTTTCTGTTATAAAGGCTAGCCATCATTTATGCACTGTATTGTTTTTTTCTGTTCTGTGTGTGTACAGTAACAAATACTTTCAAGTCTATGCACAGGTATTTGAGATGCTTAAGCCATAGTTACCATTCTATGAATCAATGTAACAACAGGCAGACCAGACTGTGAAAAAGTTATCTTGAGCCCAAAACTATTTGTGCTTTACCCAAAGGAACATTAATTCAGAGGCTTTTTCAAGGGTTGGACTAGATCTCAGCTATAACTTTTTACTTACTCCAACAAGTGTCTTAGAATGTATTTTTGATATTTACAGTGCTGCTTAATTTCTAGTATTTGCTTTTATTTTATGTTGGTATGAATGCTTGAGAATAGGCTTCCTTCTCAGTTCACGTTGTTGTCTCGTCTTGTTACAAGAAAAAGGACAAAGGAGATCTCAGTGCTTTCTGTAGTACTGCAGAATATCATTACTGTCATTATTGCAGTATTGCAGCATCTAGATGGTTCATTTTGGTGCTTTGGGCAGGGACTCTAGAGACTGCGTCAGGGAATAACTTCAGTCCCCAACATCAGCAATACTTCTTAAACATGAAGCAACGGCTTTTCTTCCTTTGACAACAGACAGTGAATCTGCATACTTGCTTCAGAAGTTTTTGCCATTATAATCTTCCAAATTTTGAGCTGAAATCCTTGTTGGTGTTATGCCTTTGTCTGGACTTCCATCACTGGGCACAAGTCTGTTAAGAAAACTCTTCTGCCTCATAGAGAAGAGGTAGTACCTCCACCTTAAAATCTTTGTGTAGCTGTTACGAAAGTTATTGTGATACCAGCACATGAGTTTGCATGCTTTGGCTTGCATCTATATGTTACACCTGTCTGGCAATCTCCATTAACACCAACCCAATGGGAGTTTTAGACTATACCAGCTAATGATGAAGGAATCGGAAAGATAGGTGTTGTGGTGGTTCAGAGAAGAAAACTTTCTGAGCTTTTTTGCAATAGTAGTGCAGATGCTTTTGTTTCCATATACACAAGTACAGCAGACAATGCAGGGGAGCTTTTCAAGAAAGTATCCGAATGCCTTGTTGGTGCTGTGTTCCCATAGCAATATGTGTGCCTAAGGCCTTTTGGCTAGCTAGGAGGCTGCAGCTGGTCTTAGCAGGAGATGTTGCGGTCACAGTACACACTTCTGGTAGGGCTACAGTATTATTACCTCTTTGGGCACAAAGACATCTGCCCACAGGGACTCCAGCTGTCATGTGGGCTACCAAAAGGTCATCACAGCTATCTGTTTTCTAAACTGGCTTACCATAGAGCACCACAGAAGATGTCTATTTCTGTATTTTGGTGTAAAAATACTGCTCCCCAGGCAAAACATAATACTTTTTACAGCAGGCATATAGGAAGCAGAACTGTTGGGAGGTCTGAAGTTACAGAACAAAACTCTAAGACAATTTAAAACTGCTACAGATTTCACTCTGCTTAAAAGGACGAAATGTATACAAACTTTACAAAACCAGCAAACATCTTTGGGCATTGGAGGAAAATGCTGAACTTAATTTTTTTTAATCTTTGTAAATTCATTAGGGACAGCCACTGGCATCTGGAAGTGAGTTAGGATCAAAGGATGCTTTCAAATTCTAACCGATTCACACAATTTGTTGTAAGAAAATGCTGTTTTCATGATTGTTATTTATCTTTCCTGCAGTAAAGCAGATGGTAGATGCAGGGGAAGGAAAGAGAGCACGTATGGGGAGAAGGGACTCCTGCGATTAATCATGCCCATTTTAGTGAAGTATTAAATAAACTAATAGCTATCATTAAGAAGACTGTGTTTAAAATTTCCAAGTTAGCTTCATAGACGTTAGTGAAAAATGGGATCGGCTTACTGAAATTTTTTGCACAGCTTCCATCTCATTACTATCTCAGGCAATTTTTCAGTAACTGAGATTTTCTCAGATTGCAACTTATAGTCTTCCCTATGAGAAAAGAAAGCATTGCTGTAAGAATGAAGTGAATTTGGGGGGGGGGGGGTAAAGCAGCTTTTGTTATTTTGAATTGAAAGTACCAATTTAATCTTCATGTCTGTGCATTTCTGTACTAATTGTGAATGTTTGCCTTTTCAATAAAAAGTTTGTCAAGCTGTAAAAAAAAGCCACCTTCAAAGACCAGTGTTAGGCAAGTGTAACAATCAAAATAGAGGAACTTGGATGTGTTGTTAAAGAAAGTATTTGCTTTCTGCTTGTGTTAGAAGTGAAAGTTACAGATACTGATCTGAAATAAGGATGAATTTTACTTGAGCCTTAAATGTTAATTTTAATCATTAGGGTAAAAGTCTTAAAAGTCTGGGTATCAGTCTTTGTAGCTGGAAAGAGTAAAGAAAAAATGGTGTTCTGAAAAAGCTTGACTATTGTTTTTCTCTAAAAATAAGTTTAAGTCTCTGTTGTTTACAATTTTTTTCTTCTGTTTTTGTTTTGGGGAGGAGTGTTTGTGGTTGGTTTGGCTTTTGGGCTTTTTTTCCTGGCCAAATGGGAATATGTGTAGAAGCAAGAAAAAAGTAGTTGAACCCTTAGGAAAGTGATGAAAAATGTATTGTCTGAAGTGTAGTGCTGAAGATGTAATGGATTTGTTCTTCAGCTTCTATGTTTTATGGTATTTTTTTTGAAATTTTTGATCAATATGTTTTGGACAACAGAGTTTTCATTCCAAAAATAAAATTTTGATTAAATCAGTGTGGGGATGTAGACATCTACAGTTCTCTAAATCTGTTTTTCTGCATTTTTTTTGTGGGTTTTTGTTTTGTGAGATACCCAGATTTGCTGATTTGTGGAGCATGCTGACCTTGGCTTCTGTGAATTTAGTGGAGAGTGAAGGAGAAGGGATTGGAAGACCAGCTTAAAATGCCCATGTATTTACAATGTTTCGTAGAATGAGAGAATGTTAAGAATTTGTATTTTGTCTTGTTATATTAAATAAGTAGACTTACATTTGAAATTATTTAATAATTGAAATTTAAAGTGCGGTTAAGACTGCCGTTTGAGACTGATCTTTTGATATTCTGCTCTCAAGAGCTTCATTTGGAGGCCAAACAATTACATTATGATAGATCGGATACTGATGGGTTCTAGTCCCAGATTCTCATCCTGCTGCTAGTTTTACAAGCACTCAGGTCTTTTTTTTACTGGCAGGGAAAATTTTGTAGATTTAGTCTTCATTACAATAAATATAAGTCATTACTTTGAGCATACCTGTGTTTTTTTAATGAAAAAACCACATTAGAAGTTTGAAAAATTTCAAAGAAAACATCTGGTAGATTTTATCTAATATGTTTAAAATAATTTGATTTGCTTAACATTAGTGAGTACTGAGTTAGATCTTCAGCTTCTCAATTGTCTTTCTATTTGTTTGACATAAGCATAAATATTTTCTTTTGCAGTTTTGAGACATACTGTCAAAATGTAGCCTTTATACTGAGTTGAACACAGTTTTGCACTGCAAGAGTTAAATATACATACTGGGGTTACATTACAAATAGAACCATTTGAGGTACTTATGCATGAACCAAATACAAATTAATCCCAGTTGTGTAATTTACAATGCTAATTCACAGCTGAATTATTTTTTACTTTCATTGTGGCATCTCTATTTGCAGCACAATAATTTGCTATGGTGTACTATTTAACATCAAACCGAAGCTTGTAGTCTCCATGTTTCTTTTATTTGAGATCTGTTTATACAGCTATTTATTTTGAGACTAGTGACATACTCATTTTGAAAAGAGTACAAGTGAAAATCCTGGAAAATGGTTTCAAGTACACCTTTTATTTTATGTGAAAACACCCTGAAAATTGCACAGCTCTTGGTTTTACAGTGGATGCTCATGAATAATCATAACTTAATAAAAAACATAAATACCTCTATTTATTAGAGCACTTACTAGCACTTACTAGTAGGTGTGTTTTGGGGCGGGAGTGAAAGTAGTGTCTGTGTTTATTTCTGCTTTACTTCCAGTTACTTTTAAGTCAAATTTTCAAGATTTTAAAGTCTCACTTGGAAGTAGTTGGCTATGGAGAGGTAACAGAAAAACTAACACCACAGAGTTTTCAAAAATGTGAATCTCAAAATTAAGGCAATAGCTGTGCTTTTTTCTTTTTTGATTTTTCCCTTATATACCTCTTGTTCATTAAAAGAAGATAAAGTGAAAATTTTACACCGATACTATATTATAGATGCAATTTTGAATGAGGACACAAATTAGAGGTTTCATGTGGTTGTAATGACACAGGCAGTTGAATTGTATTTAGACAGTGTGCACTACTATTTTAATTCTTCAGTATGGAAGAGTGAAAATAATGATTTGCTGTACGTGTATGATTTTGCATTCTTTTGGACCATTGGCAGGGTAATTGTGCTTTTCAGTTACCACCTAAATTTATAGTTAGATTATCTAGTATTTTGGGGAAATATTACTAGTTGTATTAAATTTGACCTTATCTTAAATGATCTTTGTTGTCGTTTCTTTAAGGCCCTATTGAATTTGAAGAATGCAACACATCCAGTGCAGTTGAAGGTGAGTTGTTGTCACTTAGTTATTTATGTAAGAATGCTGTGTGTAAGAACCTGAAACTTCGGAGTGAAGAGTATTCGATGTGTGAATCTGTATAACTTTAAAGTAGTCCGGTAAACTAAAAAGCCATTTTCCTTTTGAGAAACAAACTTCAACAAAAATAAGAGCTATGATACTTTCGAAGTCTAATGCATAAAGATCAGAGTATTTTAATGTTTCTTATAAATATACTTTGGCAAAGACCCTGTGTTTGCAGAGGTTTGGATTTGATTCACTTATGACTGTGTTGTAACTTAATTTACAAGTGTCAAAACATGGCCCAGGCTCTTTCCATTGTTACCATGTTCCTCATACCAAGTCTAATGCAGTGTTATGGTCATAAAGCCTTTCTTTGCTGGCATAGTCTATTTTGCTTAGGGAATTGTTTTAAGTGGTTAAGAACTGCTTTATTTGCATAGGCTATGTATTTACTTCTGGGACAGAGGGGTTGAGAGCATAGCTATAGCAGCCGACAACTTTTAAGTTGCCAAGATTGCAGCTGAGACTTAAAATCTTCTTTGACTGAAGCAAAGAGGATCCATGTTCAGAAACTACTCTCATACTCCATTTGTCGTTGTTTTGGGCTGCATAAGGCACAGAAAGAAAATCAAGCCCAGACTAGCATTTAAAAACAATTTTGGAGCAAATTCTGTCTCTATTAAGATATAAAATATGGTTGAGTTTACAGCTACCTGATTTGAGAAGTTTTGAGTTATCTAGCCCTAAATTTTCTAAGAGCGGAGAGATTTCCTGTCTGCTGTGTAATGTATTTCTGCAAAGGGGATTATAATTCAAGAACATCATTTAAAAAAAATCATTATTAGGTTTTAAATTTTGGAAACCAAATTATTTCCACCAATGTATTGGCATTAGTATGCACCCATTTGACGTTGCTAAATAAATACTTATCTCCTTGATCTCTGATCATTAAATGAAAAGTGTTTGTTCCATAGGGGTAAAACCACGGAAGAGGAAGCCTTTTGGTTTATCAGGAATAATGAAAAAAGAAAAAGACACTGAATCTGTGTAAGTATATTTCCATCTTGAAGCCTTGTCTTGTATGAAAAATAGTATAAGTGTGAGGATAAACATTAGCTGATGTTTAACAAAAAAAATGGTTTATGACACAAGTTTAGATGAATGCTATGAATATGAAAACATCACAGCTATTTAATATTTTTGTAACTAAGGATTTTAAGGAAATAATGTAAATGTATTTGTAGTACTCTACTCATGTTTCATTCTTTCCTGTGCATAGGTAAGTAGTTCTCCCTTGTTCTACATTTGAACATAGTAGACAAAGTGACTCTCACATGTACTTCTAAAGAAATGATAGCTGTATACATGGAAAAAGTGCCAGATGCCTATGCTTGCAGAGCTGAAACTTGAATTATTCCACTTTTTATTAGAAAATTTTTTGTGTACAGTATCAAAAGACAGAAAATCTTTGAATGCTTTTTCAGTACATCACATGCACACTCATTTCTGAAAGACCATCGTTCTAACTCGTGACTGATGTCCCAGCTGTACCCTTTGCCATGATAATTGCATGTGCTCTGTCTCCCAGGAGTTAAAACTCTCCAGAAAGTCAGTTTGAAGAAAAGTTCTTAGATGGGTTGGTTGCAGTCTACATATTAGTAGCTATAGACATTATATTCCAATGTATTTTTTTCATAATTTCTAGATGTGTTTTCTCAATAGAAGTATTTAATTTAACAGAGAAAAGCTTACAATAGAAGCAATATAAAAATATTCTCAGAGGCAACAACTGCATAGATACTTTCTAAAATTACTTCTAAAAAATACTTTACCAGCCTTAGTTTATAATATAATGCTGAAAAATTAATGACCTAAGAACTGCAGGTGCTAATTATTTGCACATACAAACTGCCTTATAGCTGCTTTTCTTTTGGTGTTTAATTATAATAATGATGTACTTCTAAACCGTGCTTTTTCATGATGCCTTTAGAGCTCCAAAGTGTTGTTTTTTTAAGTCATTTCTATATTTCTGTTCTGTCTGTGGCTTAGTCTTTCCCCCACCCTCTCTTCTGTACTTTATTAAGCTGGAGTAAATGAGAGAAGTGTTACATGTAGTGTGATTTTGATCAGCAGTAACCCCAGAATACTGTTTTGTTACAAAGAATTATTTTTTCTGATGGTTTGGTTTAAAGTAATTAAATTTAAATGCTTATAAATATTTGATAATACTCATGTTTTAAACAGATTTAGTGTCCTTTTTAAAAAATAATCCATTCTCTCTGGAAAGTTATTTGCTACTTTTTTTTTCCTGTCATGCAAAACTGTTGCAGTATCAAATAGCAGCGAAAAACTATGTTCCATCATTTGCCTTTTGTGTCTTGCATTTACTTAATTGCAAAATAGTGATTGTGATAATATTGAGTAGTGTTGTACAATTGAATTATGTAGCTATCAGCTTTTCTTGTACAACAAAATAATTTTTTTGCCACCATGTGGGTTATTACTCAGGCTAATCTCATGTCATATATGTTATAAGACTCCTTGCAAACCAGGAATCTCCTTCCATCTGTTCTTTGGCAGATGATGAAATGTAATCTGGCCCCAGCAAAGATTTAGGGCTCTTAATTGTAGTTTTCTGGAGCCAGCAAAAGTCTGGAAGTTCCAGATCAACTCTTCCCACGTGTATGACTCAATGTATCTTTAGTCAGAGGTCATGTTTTTCTTTGACCTGTAACAGCAAGAAAATTTTCTTAGGCATTGAAGGCTGAAAACTGGCTTCTACGCTATGTGAAACATGTTCTACTTTTGTATGCTTATCCATTGTAGTATCTGAATACTTTTCTGAAAGCTGCTTTTTTCCTGAAGACATTTTGTTTAATGCTGAAAGATAATAGCAGCTGATCTTTCTAGAAAAAAATGTTGTTTTTGGCACAATGATGTCATCAGAAAACATAAATCATCTTATCTGCTCTGAAATTGGAAAAGAATTTGCCTTGTTTTCAACAAGTTGGACTGACATTTGATTTGTATTATTTTATTTGTTTCTGTATTTACACACAATACAAAAATGAATATATTCTGAGGTCAGAAAGGAAGAAGTATGACGGCATGATATTGACCTCCTATTAACACATTGTAGGCTTTTGCAGAGATTCTTGCATTAATCCATAACTTCTATATCAACTAGAACATAGCAAATAAATAACAGAGGATTCATTATGTGCTTAAGTAAAATATTCTAATAGTTATTTATCATCTCTTTAAAAAAATTTAATTGCTAGTCTAAATTTTGTCCAATTTCATCTTCAGCTGATGATCCTGTTATAGGCTGTACAGGATAAAACTCTATCATCGGAAACTTCTCTGCACATAGAGTTCAAGTCCTTTCTTAATCTCATGTTGAATTAGGCTGTAGGCTTGTTTGGTTTCTGTCAGGCAGGCTTTCCACATCTAGAAAAACCCCTGGTTTGTAGGCTTTTCAGTTTCTCAATACAGTTTTTAAAGCGTTGATGCCTAAACTGGATGTTGTGCCTGGTAATGGTTTTACACACTTAAATACCATACACAGTGTGTTCTGTTACATGTTTCTATACAGGTTAGTCAGGGATTTCACTGTTTTTTTTAACCACTGCTTTGCATGGTTTGGTTGTTTTAGTTTTTATCTATAATCCTTAAATTCCCTTACAGAATCCCTGTTTGCTGAAATGTTACCTTATACTAGAAGTATGACGTAGTTCTTTAATCTTAAAAGAAAGATCATGCATCTAGTGATGCGAAAGCACATCTGTCTAAAACCTGATGTCCTCATTTTCAACTTTGCCATCATTTGCAAACGATTGGATTTTCCTCTGTATCTTGACAACAGATCCTGGGAGCTGCTGTTGGTGCTCCTCAGAATGATGCTAGATCTGCTGTTAACTTTTTGAGATCTATTAGCATGCTAATTTTGAAAATCTTAATCATGTGCTGAATTACTTTCATTGTCATTTGCCTCACATCTTTCTTATTTCTTAATTTTTATGGACTTTAGGCTGTCTTGTTTGAGTACAGACACTTTTTAAACCCATGTGTCAGAAAACCTGTTTATTATATGTTTTCACAGAAGTCTCTCTGAGCTGTAAAAGAGCTTTTAAAATAGCTCTTCCTATTGCTATGAATTCAGTTTAGCCAGCAGAGGGAGATAAGATGCAAGTCGATTAGAAGCTTGGTCACATCTGTTTTCTTTTGTGTGAGGCTCTTCAGAGGAGACAAGATCCTTCATCTCACTGTCAATTCCTTAACGGGCTGTACTGAATTTCATATTAATGCTTCCATGTTAGCAAGTTTTCACACCTGTTTTTAAAGCCACTGTAGTTTTTACATTTAACCGTTTAGCCTTTCAGAGAAGATGTAGATTGCAATAAATATTTTTTCCTCTTTTTTTTAGAAGTACGTGTCTAGGATGTTCAGTTTGATATGAAAACAGTGTTGTTCAGTTACACTGGCAATTACGGCTTTATTTGTCAGGATGCAAATCAGAGAGGACTTATATGCTGCTGAGGTTTCCCACATTCTATAAATGTAATTGCTTCTGCTTTTTGCAGACATCAGAGAGAATCAGTGTCATTCATTTTTTTAAATACTACTCCTTAAATAGAAGTTGTAGTAGAAGAATATAACACTTGTGAATAATGCACCTAAAATCACTGCCTTTCTGCTGATGACTTTTTTTTTTAAGCGCTTGTTAGGAGGATCCTCAATATTTTTTTTTTTTAAAGCAACTTCTAGTGCTTGACTGCAACTAGGCTTGACAAAGACGAACTAAAAATGAAATTGCAAAAGAGGGAAGCTCTGAATTCCTCTAAGAATAGCCTTAATTTCTTTGGGAACTGGTCCAAAATGTTTTGAAATTTGGTGACTTCTACTTACTGTGTACATCAACTACAGAGACCTGACTCTTGAAGTATATTCATCTAGAAGACAGCATGGTACTCCTGGCTTCTCTTGATTTTTTTATTTTATTTTATTTTATTTTATTTTTATTATTATTAGGTGAGTTTGCTTTTTCAGCATTTCCTTTGAATTTTTCTTCTGCGGTGTTTTGAGCATAAACTTTCATCTTTTATTTAAATCTCATTCAGTTGAATATGGAATATTTATAGTGAAAATTGTAAGAGAGTTTGCGAGGCAAAAGGGTCAAATGTGATGTTTCAAATTAATTGAAAATATTAAAGGATGTACCAGAACTTTATGAATAAAATAATTTGTGCATTTTCTAATTGTATATTTTCTTTTTTTTTTTTAACAGGGAGTGTCCAGATGCAGACTCAGTTGTAAGTAGGCTTATTTCCAAAACAAATGTGTATGTTAAGATTGTCAAGCACTACAATCTGATGAAACTTAACTTATATACAGTCCCTGCAATGCATTTAATACAGGATTTAGTATTTTGATAACATAGCTGAAGAGTTAATTTTGCTTGGTATATGATCTTTCGCAGTATATACAAATATGTGTCAATAGTACATTTATATTTCTGAACAATTTTAGGTTTTAAACAAGATGGTTGTACTACAAGTATTTGCTACTTTATTTTTCAAATTATTAGCTTAAATTGCTTGGATAATAGGTTGTAAGTAAGAAAAAGATTCCGTTTATTGTGGACCAAACTTTGCATCATCATATTCCTCTGCTTACTACTGTTTCCTTTCAGAAACCCTTCTAATAGCAATGGAATTCTGCTTTACATTGGCAATAGAGTGTAGGAATAAATGTTTTAAAATATGGCTTTAAATGCAGTATCTCTAGATGCGCTTTATTAATGGCCTTTTTCTTCACTGCTGTCAGTTTCATCTGTGATACATCTTACAATTTTAGGTATTAAATTCAAATAAGTGATATTGCAAATTAAATCGGTATGTTAATGCTTTTTTATTTCCTTAACTGAGCCTTTTCATTTAAACATGTATGTTGTCTTGAATTACACGTAATAGGGGTTGCAGCTCCCTATAGCTATAGTAGGGAATAATTTATGGAATAATTTACAGAATATTTTAAGCAATTTTCTGTACAATTATTTGTTTTTCAGTTAATTTATTTAGATGCCAGTTACATTAAACAATTTAAGTTTCCAAGTTCACTTATTTTGTGGATTTTCTTCTTTGCATTTAATAACAGGGAGTTTTAGTACCTAATATTAAATTTTCTTTTGAGAAGCTTAGTTTAAAAAATCTGGTGGAACCATCCTTCTAAATAAGGAAGAGTAAGTTTTGTCTCATAATAGAACTAGATGTGTAAGAAAAGCCTTGTAAGCATCATCGAGACAGATATCCTGTGCATCTTGATTTAGAGCAAAGTTATTTTCTTGGGTACATTTAAAGTAAAGCAACTTCAGAATTATCCCTATAATTATCAGGCTTTTAATGGAAATAATATCTTTTGACAGTTCAGATTGAGTCACTGGAGTGAACCACAACTAGGTTTGACTTGCAATGTTTATTTTTTTCTTTGCTTATTTTGGTCTCTACATTTTTAAAAAATAATTAGTTCAAAAAATTCAACTGTAAATAGGTCTGATGTTCTTTCTGCCTGCACGAGGCACACCATAGGATCATCTAAGTTAATTGTTCTGTATAGATGTAATTTATATTTGGTTTAAAAAAACCCTAACTTTCACAGAGTCTGACAACAAACTGATACTTTCATTGCATTCTGGTTTTTTTTTCCGTGCCCAACATTTTATGACTGCATTTGGAATTTAAAATTTGCTTTTTTACAAGGAACAGTATTATTCTGAATGGCAGAATGCTTTAATAGCAGAAATCATTATTGTCATTCTTGTGAAAAATAATGCAGCATACCATAGATTAGATTCATTTCACCCCTTACAAACAACCAGCCCATAGTGCTTTTACATTTTAAGGTTTGTGTCCGCTTCTGGAACATCCCATTTCACATGTGTTTAATTTTTCTTGTCTTTTACTTTAAGATTTCCTTTCTGTTTAATTTTTCAAACTTGATCTAAATAGTTATAGCCGTCTATGAGAATTTGTTTTGTGTGGATCTTTGCAATAAATTACACGTTTGAAGAAATTGAACTTAGATAAGTATTTTTAAAAAAAAATTGCAAGCAACTATCAGTTGTGTTTGCTAGAAAATACTGAGGACCAGCCCTCAGAAAATTCAACTTATATAATGTATCCCAGTTATGATTTTGGTCAGCTTTGGTCACTCACAGAAAATCTCTGTCGGGTTTTTATGTTATTAACATGATCTTTTTTAAAAGGTGGCTTTTTTTTTTGTCAAGAATTCTAATTGTGTGAGAGGAATGTAAGAGATAACCACTCTATTATTATTTATAACTAGAGGCACTGAGGTAAATATATTGAAATTTTAGAAGCGAAGGATCCCGTAAGAACTGACTTCAATACTCGATCTACTGGTTCTATGTGATATTGTGGATCTTTCAACATACAGTGTGTAGTGAATACCATTAGGGCCTTGTCACTAGTCCAAAACATATAATGCAGTGTGTTTGAGCTTGTATTCTCTGTTTCCAGAAAACAAAATAGTGAGATGGTCCTAAAAAATGTATTTTTTACCAAAATGGGAGTTCTCAAATTTATCTGTGGCAAGGTCTCCACTTATGCTCATCCTTTGTGTAGCTGCCAGATTTATATACATTGGAAAATGTGATGCATTTGAATAAGTTGTTAATTCCTACCAATATTTTTTTTGTAACTGCTATAAGAGGTTTTTATGTGCTCATGAATAGGAGGGCAGCTGTGAACTGAGAACTGGTATTTGCTAAAAAGGTTGACCACTTCAATAAGCAGTCTCTGCTTAAATATAGATCACAGTATATAATGAGATATAAAATTCCTATGTTATTATATATCAATCTACACATGTAATTTCCATTAAGCTAAGCCTTGATAATTAAGAAAAGTAGAAAGTTAAGTGTGTGTACAATAGAAAGAGATAGCAACTGAAGTCTGGCTCTGCATGTGCAGTGTTACCTAGTTTTTCTAAAGGCAGAACTGTCTTGTTTCCCATGGGTTTGCCATGTCTCTAGGGACAGTCTATAGGAAGATATGATCTCTGGTAGAAACTTTTCTTTTGGGGAAGCATTTACAAGGTTCCACTTGTGTCCAGTAAAGTCTGGATTTGGGTTGCAGCCCTTCCCTTGGCTGGGATACTTGCAGATCTCCTTCTTCTACTTGACTGCCTATTTTCATGAAGACTGTAGTAACATTATCTTTGAGTCCTCTGTTCTGTCTGTCAAATCCATTTGAAATTGTCCAGTAAGTTCAAAAAGTAATTAAGAAGGGAGCCATGGATGCACAGAACATAATGCTGAAACTTTTTTTCATGGGAAACAGGAATGCAACCAAATATACAGAGGCATCCAAAACTTTTCATTACCCTCTTCACATAAGACTGTACCATAATTACGGTTGTATAGAATTATGCACCATTTTTATTGCTGGGGACTGATTGAATTTGGAACCATCAAACTCTAATTAATGGAACACAAGTGTAACCTTATATTTAGTGAAATTCAAATGTTTTTCTTTATTTGCATTTTGTAATGTTTAGTTCTAGCATATTTTGAATAGCTGCCATTGATACATGGTACGAGGCTTTGTAGTCACAGTGCAAGTCAGTGGCACTTTGAATACCTGTTTTTCTTTCTTTCTGCTTCTCTGGCAATGGAAGAAACTGACTGACTACTCTCTTCTTCCATGTCTTTTGGGTTAATAGGCACCTTAAGAAGAGCAGGCTGATAATATGCAGTACCTCTGTCTTAACCTAAGGATATATCTGAGTCATATTTACATCTCAAATATGTCAAAAGTGGAGCACTTTTTTTCTCTTGTTCCAGGCTATGAGCTCCAACTGCTTACTTTAAGTTCGCTTCAGTCCGCATCTGGATTACAGGAAGTCAGTCCAGTTCAGTAAAATGGTAGAAAATTGATCTGGCAGGAAAAAAAAACAGTGAGCTGTTCAGCTGTGCTGTATCTTGAAGCATACCCTGAGGAAAACTTGATGAGAAGCTCTCATAACCACTGTAGATATCCCAGGAGAAGAGAAAACAGACAGAAATCAAGCTGAAGCATAGTGATGGTTCTTTGCTTCTTGACCGATGACCAACCTTTAAGCAGTGCTAACGTTGCTGAGGAAGGGCCAAATGAAGTAACTAGACTTCAGTAGGCTCCACGTGTTCCTCCCTTGCCCTTTGTTAGGTAACCCAGTGGAACTAATGACATGGTCATGGTGCGGCTTCTTCCGTTGCATTTGGATGACAGATGGGACAGAGCAAGGAAACTGAGACAAAGTGTTCACCAAAACTCAGAAAATAAGTTTTGGCAATGGAATGCGTAGTCCTTATGGTTTTTGTAGAGCCAGTTTTACTTTTCTATTTATTTGTTATGTCCTTATGTTTTATTTCTTGAAAAAATTATTCACCCCAGAAAGTTCGTAAAACATACTAATGCAAAGACACAAGTTATAAGCCCTGAATTTCTCACGTATTTTTAAAACTGTAGAAGACCTTAATTAGTAATGTGCTGTATTACATCTGCAAACACAGGGAAGACTCTGTAGCTTTTATAGCTACATGTATAATTGCTTAATGGAACCTCTGAGAATGTGAAACCTTCTTCCAAGGAAGTCCACCTTTCCAGTTACTTCCACAGAGCTCAGTTCACATCCCCATATTGAGCTGCTTTTTCACTGCAGAGACAACAAATAACATGTTTGGGTAGGGGTCTAGACCAGACCTTCGTATCAATAACTATATGTTGATAACTATTGTATTAATAACTCCTTCTTACAGAAACCCAAAGTTTGCAAAGATCTTCTTCCTCTGTGTTGAAGTTCAAAAATTACAGATATATGCACGATGGTTATGGGTTTTCATCTCTGATCAGCATGGTAGGCAGATCAGGTCTTGTCTGTTGTGCGCCTGTACTTAAAAGACACATTGTTATCCACAACATTACATATAGTTCTGTAACGGTAGGAGTGTGGAGAAGGGAGTAAGAATTAGTCAAGTAAATGTAAATGCCTTCATTACCATCAGACTCATGAATATATATCTGTCTCAAAATGCTGTGTCCTCCACTGCTGTTACAAAATGTGGATTAGTAAATAAAAACCTGCTGTTTCAGAAAACAGAACCATTCACCTGTTCAACTATTCAAAATATTTGAAACAGTATTTTGAAATTACTACTTAACTTGTAAGTAAGATTATGAGGTGTCCTTTTTTTGTATGTGACACAATTTGTCTTTGTCGATACAAAGGTACACTAAGTATCACTTCCACCGTTTTCTTGTATTGGTTTACACACAAATATAAATTCAGTATCTCATTTATGAAAGCAGAAGGGGTTTTAAAAATGATCATAAATTGGTACAAGATCTGAATCATTGACAAAGCTGGAGGTACAAAACAGATGATTTCTGAGTCTGTATATGCTGTGTGGAGTCAGGAGTTTTATATTACATATATTGAAGTTTTAGAAACAGGAAAAAAAGACTGCAAATTAAGCTTTCTGCACAGTGTTAGAAAAAAGTGGTAATGTAGGTCTGCTGGAAAAAAAAAAGAATTTTTCAGTTCCTGTGTTCAGAACTTAAGTTGGAATGTGTCCAACTCTGTTACGTAAGTGTTGACTTAGTCAAAACTTTTTGTCTGAAGTTGCAAATACAGGCTACATGGTAAAGTACCGTTGCGGAGGAATAGATGATTCAAGCATCTTTGCAAGAACAGAAATAATTAACATTAAAATATTAAGAAAGAGGTTTAATACTTTTAAGAACTTTAGGATTTTAGTGCTTTCTAAGGATTTTATTTATCCTAGAGATTATTCTGTAAATTAAAAATTACACTATGAAAATAACTTCTGCAAACTAAGTTCTTTTACAATTTTATATCAAAACACTCAGATTTGCTGGCTATATTGTGTATGCTGTGTGTGCCCAGTAATAATATCCTTTACATACGTGGCCCAGCTGGAAGAAAAACTAAATGTTGTATATTTAAAGATTTTTGTTGGTTTTCAGTTCATCTTAACCATGAGTTATCCTGATCTATTGAAAATTGCCTAGTATGACAACTAAATTAATTTCAGAATTCAGAAGTTGTAGTATTGTAGGAAAATGTACCTACCCTCTAGCTACATGTTTTTGTTCTGTTTACGTTGATGTCAAGTTTCATTAGTGTTTTTTGGTATATAAACAAGGTCGGCCTGAGGTCAAGCGTAGCTAAGAACCCTGATTTGAGCAAGTAGAGCTAAGGTACTGGACCGTGTGATCCTACTCTTATTACTTTTTTTTTTGTTCCATTCTTTTTCTTCTATTTTTTTTTAAACAAATAGCAGTGAAGTCCAGATCTTACAAGTATTTCAAGAAATTGCATCTATATGTTCCATATTTTAAAGTTTGAGCTTAAAGAGTATTTTTTGGCTTTAGTTTAATGCACTATTTAATTGGGTACAGTATTACATCTCCTGTACAGGATTGTATTTCTTACTCTTTTTAGCGGAAAGTTTGAGCTTTGCTTAAATTTGTTCCATTTAATTTAGAAGTGCTGGATTTAGAGAGCTGTACAGAGGAGAATCTCTTAGTAAAATATCAGACATCCAATTTGTGATGTCTGTAATAGAAATAGAGGGAGAACTACATTTTTGTTTATCTTCCTCTGTAACTGAAAAGCTATTCAAAGTGAATATCTCTTTAAATTTGGCTTCAAATTTTAGGTGAAGTCGAGTGGTTCCTTGCTAGTCCGCTTGAAGTCTCCAGTGTAAGTCATTTTGATATATCTCATGACTTACAACAGCAAGGTATATTTTGGCCATGCTGTATGTATCTCTGTTAGTCAAACTGCCTTCCAGTACCAACTTTCTGGTAAAAATAAACTGATTGCTACACTAGAATAAATCACTTTTTATATCAATCTTGTTGTTTTTGTAAGAAATTTATAACTGGTGGTGTAATTACTACATTTTGGAGGTACTTGAGTTGTGGTTTTTTGTAATAGATTTACTGAGGCATCTGAGCAGTTCGCATAGACTAAACATACAAAATCATGAGTGGGCTTTTCTGTTGTGAATGGGGAATTACCTGTGTATCAAAGTTTATCCCTTTATATCTAATATACGTGAGTGTGGGGTTTTGCACATTTTAAAAACATAGTTTATTATATTAGAGACTTGTTTCTCTCTGCCCCAAAACTTTTTTGTGAAACTGAGAACTTAGCTAAGTGTTCTAAATGATTTTAACATATTTCTCGTCAATTTATATACAATTACCTGCAAGAACTGAAAAACAGAACTAATCTGAAGTTCCTAGATCTTTATCAGCTTTGAAAATCCACAGTGATGCTGGAGTTGTGTAAAGGAAAACTTCGGAAGCCGATTTTCAGCACTTAAATACGTATTTAAGTTTCATCCATGCCTTGTAATTAATGTGGATATTGTTTGCTAAAGCAACAGTACAGGCTTGCTGCCTTTTCAAGAGGGGAGAGGAAGCTGCAACCTGTGTAACCTGGAATGCTGTTACTCACACATTAAGCTGTTGGCTAGTACTTAGGAAAGGTTTTGCTCCTGCACCATCAGAGCCTTCAGTGACTTAGCTGAGAGAACTAGAAGTAGAAATTGGGAAAATGTTTGGGGCCGAGAACTGTGGACTTATTTAACACTGAATAGTAAAGCTAAAATGCTTCTGTTGCTTTCTGACATTTTTGATACAGTGCCAGTAAAAGCAGATGCATTCGAACTTCCCAGTTTTCATAAGAAACTTGGAGGTTGTTTTGTTGTATTCTGTTCCTGAGGTATCTTGTCACGCTGCTTCTGAACTGAAGATTGTAAGTTGAGAGAACTATATTAATTAATGATGAACAACAGTTACTTTCATGAGCTGTCATAATCAAATTTTAATTTGACAATGATATAAAATTCAGTCTGATCTAAGAACAACATGGTTTTTTAGTTGTCAATATCATAATTTTTGTTGTTTTTAGAACATTCCTGATGTAGATGATGAAGGATACAGCATTAAACCAGAAGCAACACACGATATCCTTTTTACTACTATTGTGCCAAGTTAGTTGTTGTTATTACAATTCTTTAGAGAGATGAAGTACTGATTAAAGTGTTAAGGAAGATGAATGACATTCATGCTTATGTTGCAACCTTGTATTCTTATGTTCATAGCTTTTGCAAAATGTGCAAAATTTTGTCTATTAGATTTTGTGTATGTGCAAATGGTAAAGATTAGATCAGATGTCCTGGGAACTTTAAGAAGAAAAGAATTAAAAAAAAAAAAAAAAAAGCCAAACAAAAGCTTTAAGGTGACCATGGAGATCTTTCTCCTTGAAAAGCTCTCAGAGAGCTTGTAAAGTAAATTTTGTAAACTTTTTAAGCATACAGAGTTGTTATTTGTTCTATATCTGCACCCTCCTGCTTTTTTATAACACTGTTAAAAAGATTGGGAGCTCCAGCAGTCTAGAAATAGAATTTCTGTTACTTAATGAAGTCATTACACCACATGCTGTTTCTAATTGGTGCTACTAGCTTTTATTGTCTTTTTAATATTAGCTTTGATATGCATAATAGATTTGTAAGATGTATTTTATGGAGGCTTGTGATCTTTCTCTGTTCTTCCTTTCAAGGAAAACACTCATGTCCTCTTTTTTCCTCCCATCAGAAAGAGAGGGAAGCTCTGCTTAAGAGCTGGAACTAATTGCAGTAGATCTAAGCAAGCCTAATATGTTAGCAAGATAGCTCATATTTGGAAGTGTATTCACTGAATTCTCTGAGTACTGCAAGTAAAAGGTGAACTTCCACTTTGCAATTACCTTAATTTGTGAAAACTTTTAAGCAGTTAACAGCACATTAATGTGGGCCAGTCCATCATCATAGCTGCTCTGTTTTCACCAGCTTTGCAGAATATACCTCGGTTGCCCCCAGTGAAGATTTCTGTACCAATAAAAGCAGTTTGTGTTATCCCCTATTTACAAGTGAAAGACTTTTATCCAGTTCTGAGAGGGGCATTATTTCATGCTTTGCATATATTTATGGAAGGGAGAGAGGAGTGAGCAACATTCATGCGTTGTAAATTACTCATCTGGGCATTCTTTCTACGTTATCCTTTTTGTTGTGAAACAACAGAAAAGGTGATACGTTCAGTGAAAAAGCTCAAGGATTTGCAGTCCCAGTCAGCCAGGTAGCACTTCAGCTTCTGAAAATCTTGAGAAAGTTCAGGAAGACATTGGTTCCCTTCCTCTTTTCCTCACTTAGCCTACAAAATTGGATACCTACTCTGTTGATGGGAACTCTTGAGATGATTTGTAGGAGGACATTATTTACCATAACGGCAGTCAGTAAGTCCAGCCGCAAGTGTTGGAAAAGCACTTTACAAGAGCTGCCTGATTTGTAGGAAATCAAGCTTGAAGCTCACTGATAACTTTCAAGATGAGATCTTCTGATGAAATGAAAAATGGCTTGTCTTGGAAACTTTCTTTTCTAGATATGATCCATTTTAAGGGACAGATAGACTGTAAGATGAAGATGTTTGACTTTTTCCTCACCATGGCTCAGGGATTCTTTTAGTTGAAAAGGATTTGGAATGTCGTTAGGGTTCAGGTTTTAATCTTTGTCAGGGAATAGTTTGAAGAGATTTAATTCAAATGGCTGGCATATTTCCAGAGATTTAATTCAAATGGCTGGCATATTTCCAAGTGACAATAACAGAAGTGAGGTATAGAATACATGTGCTCATCATAGGTGGTATGAAACTCTTATGTTCAAATAGAGAAAAATCTTCAAATACTTTCTTGTCAAAACAAATGTGTATTTGAAGACTTAGCATAGGCCTTTCGGAGTTTTTGTCCAGTGTGGCTCCTGTGCGTGTAAAGAACCAAGGCTAAATTCATCTGTATATTTTGCTAATTTTGAGGGCTGAGTTGTCATTGTGATTCCTTTTTTGCCAAGGATGACGGTGCTTTAAGCAGCTGACGTTGTTTACTGTGCAGCCTTCTGTGTAACTGCTGTCATTTCTTGCAAAATTTTCAGTGCCACTCTGCGAAAGGGGCAAGTAATGGTGGCTGCTACTGCTGTTGCTTTCTCTGCTGTTAATGCTTGATACAGGTACCATGGCCATTTCACTGCGAATTAGAAAGTCTGGGACTTTCCTTCATTTGGTTTAAAAGCATTTCTTCATTTTTCATACATTTGTGGAGTGCCTGCTTTGGTCTTACAAATCATAAATTTAACATGTGGAAGTGTTGCTACTGTAGAATCTTTAATTTACCCTGATATCTTCAAATAAGCAGTTGTTCAGTTATATGACATAGTGCCTTTCAGGACAGAATACCATTATGAAGACAAATGGAATACAAAAACTAATTTTAACTCTGAGTTGTGAATTTTGGACAGTGGATAAATTAGAAGTGTCTATAAGCACGCAAAAAGGTTAGGCAGCATTGTTTATCTGTGGTGTTCACTTAATATGAGCATTTTGTAAAACAGAATTGTGAAATGGATCAAGCTGATGGATTTGAAGTATTTCCACCTTAACTGAGAAAAACATACCAAAGAGAATGATTTCTATTCAACCAGTGATTCTGACTCTGAAGATGATGAACCCAGGAGGTTCCATGTAGAAATAAAACCTGTCCAGCCAAATAATAGCTCTCAATATACCATGCCTTCCTTGGATGAATTAAAAGTATCTATAGGGAACATCACTCTTTCTCCAGCAATATCTGTAAGTTGGTTTTTTCTTTGTATTTTTAACGCATAGATGAGAAAAGTGGTAAAAAATCTGTGGTGCAAACGTACATTTTACTGTTTAGAATTTATTCTAGGTTGAAGTTCTATGATTCTTTTTTTCTTGTGCACTAGGTCATCTTTGGTACACTTCATTACAGTGTAACATTAAGTACTTCTCCCTTTTCATATTTTACTTTTTCTTAGAGTCTTGTGAGTGCTTAGTCCTTATCTTTCTGCTGTTGCCAACATAAGATGTTTGAACACATTGTAGAGTTAGCTGAGCATGGCTTTTAACATAGTTTAATTAGTATTTGATAATGTACAAACTGTTAAAACAGTGGATACAGACTATAGTGTGGATACCTGTAACATTTACAGTGCAGCTTTACTGATGTATTCTGCCAATCCACAGAATGATCCTTTATACCATGAGATGATATTACAAATAAGTAGTATTAAAGTTTGCTAGTACAATGTTCAGATGAGAATAAGAACGGCTATGATTTTAAGGAAAACATTGTGCATAGCATATTAAAATAATAATGATGATTTTTCTCTTTTTTTCCCCACATTTTGAAAGCAGAGGCATAGTCCTGTAAGTACAAATGGCTTTTTATTCACATTTTTAGATTAAAAAGGAGTAAGTGTATTGTGTGAGGGGAGTTATTGAGAAAACCTTAGAAATGTTTCTTTTCATATATATTATGTGATATATAAGCTGTTTTAATTTTACTGCCCCAGCCTGTAAAGGGATTTAGTAATAGTGCTCCCTTTGTCAGCTTTACAGTGTTCATTCCTGTCCTTTCTTACTGGTAGGCGAGTGTGCACTAGTTGCTCTGTCCTGCCTCGTGTTCTGGTCTTCTGCAAGCTCAGAATGTTTTGCCTGGCATTGAAAGCAAAGTATCTCATAGCACGTTGAGTGGAAATAAGAACCCTGAGACTATTAAGTGTTTTATTTGACAGTGGGTAAAAGAATTTATTCCTCTTTTTTTTCTTTTCTGTTTCAGGCACAAATAAATCGAAATTTATCCAGTAAGTGTGAATTTTTAACTTTTAGTCTATTTATGTTAGCTTTTTAACACAGCATCAAAACAGATCTTTTTTTAAAAATTGTTGAATAAATAAACTTCTTAAGTATCTGTTTTAAGTACAGAAAAAATATTTCTCTTGTCAGTTCTAGATACCTCTTCTTTTTCTATATACTCACTTGTTCCCTATTCTGGGAAACAGGTGAGACTGTGACAGTGATGAGGAACACATCCAAGAGCTAAAGGGGGGATCCTATGGAAAAGGCTCCTGTGCAAGTTCTTAAAAACTATTCCACCTACTCAAGTTTAGTATGATACACAAACGAGCAAAGCACACTTTCTCTGGTTTGTAGTCAAACACTTAAAACATGGCCACGGAGAAAGAGGACAGAGCATAAGTCTCTATCCTGTAGGGTTTTTTTCAGTGGGAAACCAAGCCAGATTTGCTGAAGAATAATGTTGATGTAAACAGTATAATTCAAGGAAGAAATTTCAAGTGAACAACACTTCCTCTCGAAATGCATTGCTCTGTGTAGTCCTCTCCTATTAGAAGGTATTTCAGGGGTATCTCACTTTATATTATCAGAAATAATGCGTTTTCTCTTTTGCATTTTAAGAACTCATAATTAGTTTTGACATGTAACCGTTAATGTTTACTATCTTTTTATAAAGAAGCTGAAATTTTTATTTTAAGAGTGTCACAGTTTTGGTGATAATACTGTGTCTTTTGCTTAGATGAAGAGTTAGCAAAATCAAAGCTTTCTGCTCCAGCTAATGAGTAAGTTCAAATTTTAAACTATCAAATGCAGTTCTGTGGGAAATAGGTCTTATTTTGATCTACTACTCAGAAAATAATTGGAAATATCAGCTGACTGCTGGTTTAATTTGGGCATCTATTGCACCGTAAGAGTTAAGGAGTAATTACATAACAAATATTTCTATTCATTTGTTTTCCCCTTCTAATGCATTTGCTTCATTGTGATCTGTCTCTATTGGTATTTATAATTACATGATTACAAAATGTTAGTTTTTATCAGTTTTAAATAGGACAAGTTTAGTTTCTATACTGTTCCGTGGTAAAGTGTTTACAAGCCCCAAATTTGGACAGGCCTGTATACATTGCTTATGTATGTATATACTGAAATAAATGGATTTGAAGATGTATGTGTCCCTGAAAATGACAGTCATTTAACTGACATTATAAAGTATGTCCACACACAAACTTTCACCAAGTTGTCAGTTCAGATAGTCTTCTTACGTGTAAATCAGTTCCTTGACCTGCAATTTGTAGGTACTTTTTGTTTTTAGAAGCAAAGACTGACTAGTAAAGAAGAATTTCTCAAATTTATTCATTATATTAGCAAACTACTACTAAAGTTGTAGTTTGATTTTTATGAGTGTATTAATCTTTCATTTATATTCCAATTGTAACTCTTAATGTAGAAAAGGGAACAGTGATCTCCTGGCATGGGATCCACTCTTCAGTAGTTCTCTTGAATCTTCCTCTTCAGCTTCCCTGGCATCCTCATCCTCCTCAGGTAAAGTACTTGATAGTATAAAATGTTTTCTCTATGTATTTTGGGATGTTCTGCTGTTGCTGTTTTAGTTATTGCAAGGGGATGTGTTTTCACTATTGAAAGAATTTTGTAAAACAGTATAAGTAATACACAACTGAGGGTGCAGTATTATCAGGCTTTCAAGCTAGGGATCCAGAGTGAAGAGGGAACACTAGAAATCTTAGAAAAATTCTCTCTGGCTTCTGCCTTTTTGTGTCCCCTTCTCTTACTTTCCAAAAAATGATCACCATCTAGAATATAATCCTGTTTTTTCAGATGGTAGGACTGGGAGATTAAATGGAGGTTGTCGCAGCAACTGTGACGCAAGCTGAGCTTGCACTGTGAATAGGGGTGGACTTCTTTACAGGGAAGTCTGTTGAGCTATGTAGTACAAAGGCACCACAGAGCTTTGCTGTGAGGAACCTATTTCCTGTAGGAAGCCATGATTTTGTTAAGAGATGTGTGGGCTTAATCCAAGGGGAGCCAGGTAAAAATGGCAGGACTAAGACTAGAATTAATAAGGAGTTCCTGGCACCACCTGAGAGCAGGGGCCTTGGGAGGGAAAAGGGTGGGCTGAGGAGTGTGAGAAAGGGGAGAGGGAGGGCAGGTGTTGTGTGGGAACACTGGGGTGCAGTGTGGGCAGGACACTGGCAGGCTTCCCAGAAACCCGGTCTATGCGAAAAAAAGTAAAAAAAGAATCACAATAGTCGTCAATTATTACATTTGAAAGGCAGTGAAGGAGAGGGAGGGAAAATAGTTTATGAGTGGCTGTGTGTGGTGACGGGGCTGAGAGCAGAAGATGTTGAGAAACTAATTCAGAAAAAGGAAGGAGAGACTGAAAGAAAAACAGATATTATGGCTGTGTTAGGACCTGCTTACTAAAATTATTTGTTGAAGTTATTTATTGTTTATGTTGATTATCTTGGGGGATTTAAAGCAGAATCTACTATTTACTAACAGCAGCAGATACGCTGTTTCCATAGTTATTTTTGGTCTACCTACTGCGTATCTATTTTCCAACCCGTGCTGTCTTAATGTAGAGACTCTTCTCCTCCCCCATGCCTGAGAAAGGAAGTGTTCACTGTTTCTTTTAGCTAGGTATTCATATTCCAAAAACTCACTTTAATAGACCTCACTTTTTGGTTCACAATTACGGCTTTCTAGCTGTTTTCCTCTGTGCTAGATCATATAGGTTGAAGAACAGTAAGGAGGAGTACATGCATCAGTAGGGGTATTCTGCACAACTAGTGTTAATTCCTCTTGGCCTTAGACACGTCCTTTTAGCAGCAACCAGCATTGCTATGTAACCCTTTGGGTTTTCGATGGTACTTAATCTTTCACTACAAATTCATGTTCCTTGGAAGTTAGGGTTTTTACAAATCTAGCTTATGGAAATCATTAGATTGTCTCTTCCTCACTTTGGTAACCAGTCAAGATTATTGGCTAGTGGATGCAAATTTGTGACATATGTAAGGATAAATTATATACAGATATGTACTACTGGAATATGCTGAAAAGAAGTGGTGCTTTCTCAAAATAATGTTTTGCTAGCTTTGGTCTGGTGCTGGGAGTCTGCAGGGGGGAAGCAGAGGATACTTAATTTGTTGTGCTGGTGTTTATTACTGTATCCAGCTGTTTATTGCTGCACCTGGATGAGAAGTCAAAGCAGGTTAGGAAGTGTTCACACAGTCCCTCCTGGCAGCAGAGCTGTGGAGAGAGTAGTCTAGGGCTGATGAGTACTGACAGTTAATTGGGATCCGTAACATCCTCTGTAGCCGTATCTGGGGGAAGCCATCTACCCAAGCCCTCATACGCAAACGAAGCTTATGCACAGAGACCTACATTTCACTGAAATTGCTGGAATATAGTGTCCTGTGGGCATAAATCAATTTTAAATAAAAGACCTGTGTGCCTTGGCAAACTTTATCTGCTAAATAATTTTTTAAAGGATTGTTGTTCTTAGAGTTAACTGAGATATTTACACTTATGAAATCATCCATGGAATTAAGTAGAAAGTGAGTGTTCTAAAGAACAACAAATTACTAATGCATTTGGGGGGAAAAAAGTTCTGGATCAATGTAGGTCATATTGTTGTTTAAATCAAGTTCTGATGCTCATTAACCTGCGGTTTAGTTCTAAACACTTTTAAAAATACAAAACTTTGGTCTGATTATATTTTCCTTGAAATCAGTGGTTTATCTTCAACTTAAAGGTTAATATAGGTAAGCTGATGCTTAAAGCTTTTGAAAATCTCAAACCAAAACTTAAATTACATAAATTAGTTGTTTTGTATACAGCATATCTTCATATCATGGTGTAGCATGTCCCACAGATTGCTTTTTTCTTTTTCCTGTTAAAACCTTTCTTTAGATATTGTTTCGTAACTCTGTGTTAATCATCGAACACTTGAACTACCATGGTATGTGAGCAGACAGTGGTTTATGCAGCACAGAAGTAGACTTTGGTCATCCAGGAATAATCTTGGTTTATTAGAAGTTTAAGCTAACTTTGTTATCTTAAACAAACACAACAGATGTTTTTTAGCCAGCTATTGATATTGTAAAAATCCTTCTTTTTATTTATTTTCTTCATTTTCATCCATATATATTTTGAACATTTCCACTTTGCTTTTTGGATAGGATTTATAGTCGTATTTTAAACCCTTTGAATAATATCTTAAATATCTCTTAGAACAGGAAAGCTGTGTGAAAACTCTGTTTATGTGGGCTTAGGGAATGTATTTGTTCATGGCAAAAGGACCACTTTAGAGAGGACACCTATATGGACACATATACTTTTGATCTGAACTTTTAAACACGTTGCTCTCTTTTTTGATTCTGTATGTCACTCTGCTGTTGCTCCTAACTTTGCCAATCTGCAGTATGCTGAGTATTGACTAACCTTGCATTTTGTACTTCTGTTGTCGTCTACTGCAACAGACAACAGCCAAGTGCAGGGAATACTTGTGGAAAACTCCTGTTTTCCAGCAGCCTGAATACTATAGGATGAGAAAGGAAATACAGCTACTCACTAGATACAGGTTGATAGAGACAGAATAATATCAAAAACGATCTCATGCCTGCATAGTCATCATTCATTCACCGGGCAGCCATTTATATTGGGCTTTCCCATTACAACTGTTGCAGGTAAGAGGATAAAAATTTTTGTAAGGAACAGGATAGGCTAGGTTTGATTAAATAACTTTGAAAGAAATGAAAAGCAGAAAGCTGTGGAGAGGAAACAAAAATGGAATAGGACACAAGAAGGAAGAGACAAAGATGAGCGGAAGTTAAACCACAACAGGGAGAAAGTTAGAGAAACAAGAGAAGTCATGACAAGCAGGGCCGTAAGTGGAGAGAAACACAATAAATTACTTTTTGGCTTACTTAAAAAATGGAAAGTGACATGATTGGCAGTATGAATTAAGTACATGTGATATGTGGCTGGGTTTTTTCTCTTTTATTTCTAAGTGGTGGGATTTTTAGCCTAGAGAGCAGTTATTTTTCATGCTGGTTAGTAATCCTCATGCAGTGGGTATTGAATACTTTTTTGAATATTGAATTGTTTATCTTCTCAGTGTTGGTCCTAGTTTCAATTCTTCCCTTTTCCTTCAGCTACACTAAAAGAGCACAATAGGAGCTCCTCCTCATCTACCACTGATTTGCCTGGGTGTAGAGTATCTGAGTCTTTGCTTGGACACCAGACAGATTCTGGGTCTACAAGCCCATCCTCACCAGCCTTTACCATTAGCACTCTGTGCAAATCTGGTGTTACAGCAGCGCCGTCAGGGAGTACCAGTACTTTATCCTGTGTTTCACGGTCTCAGAGTCAGTGGATTTCCTTTGCTGATGAACTTCTTGCAATTAAACACACAAACGCAGACAAGAAGGAGCCCCAAAGATTGCATTTTAAAACTGAAAATGCCTGCCTTGCCTCTTCTGCTTTGCTTGGGAATTCTTCCAACAGCTGTACTTCTGAGGATCAAAGTGACCTTTTCAATAATACTGTATTCCATGAACAATTATTCATTGAAGAAACTGGCACTGCTGCCGAAATTTCTTCCACGTCATCTTCAGCACTACTGGACTATAGTTTAGTGTCTTCTTGTGCTCGTACAAATAAGGGTATGGCAAGCATGCATTGTGCACTGTTCTTTGCTAATAACTGACTCCAAAAAGCAAGCTTTGGACTCATTTTTCTTTTTGTTATTATCACTCACCTGATGTTAAAATTAACTGATCTTCTTACTTAGTATGTACTAAACTTCTTGTTAGCACCAAATTCCTTGAAAGTTAGAACAATGAAGTAAATATTCAGCTTGAAATAGGAAGAAAAATTCAAATTATTCCATTAAAGGCATTGCTTTCTCTTAACTGTGCAGAGCTTTGCTTTTCTCTAAATAGGAATATATTTTTGTGGGATATCAGACAGCAGGGAGATCTCAAAGATTAAGTGATTGAATTTGCAAAAACAATTTGATTCCTAAGTGGCTTTGTATAGATTTTTTTTCAGATTAAATAACGTTAAATAAATTGGATTTAAAACTGTTCCTTTTAAACACCCAGTATTTTGAAGTGTGGATGATATCACAGTGATGCTACGTACTAAGAGGACAAAGCAAAAGTGCATTTGGACAAGTGTGCCATGACTCACTGAATACCTGTGGTACTGCAGCAGACTACTCGGTGTTTAGCATGCACTATCATCTTGGGCATATAATAAGAGTTTTAAAGGAATAACTGATATTTTAGAAGTTAATTTATCTGGGGACATTTGAGTTTGCAACTCTTAAGGTGGATGTGGTGAGTGTTAGCCTAATTTCTTTCTTCCCAAGGTAGTGATGAAAGTCACGTACTTAAACAACAGCAGAGTTATGCTGAATGCCCAAGAAAACTGCATACTTCAAAGCTGCATTTTAAATAACAGTAAATAATTTAATTAAAGAAGAACCATACAGAATAATATGAGGGAGATATTAGGATGTGCTGCAACAACATGGTCATATATTGGGATTTCAGTCTATTTTGAAGTAAATTTTAGATCTGGCATACTCATGGATGGCATCTAACATTTATTTTGAAACCTGACTCTGTTCTATTCAGAAAAGTGACTTTGTAAAAGTGGCATCTTTATACTGCTGCCACCATCTGTTAGTTGTTTCTGTTAGATTTAGACGGACTTGGGGCAGTATTTTTTTTAACTGTTTTTTGCTTCTGAGAGCTCAGTTAAGAGATAATAAAGAGTTAGTGTGTTCTTACAATCAACAGAGTGATTGATGTGTTACACTGGTGTGTACTTAGTGAAGTAAATGGGATTTCAGTGGACAAAATTTGATGTAAGCAGAGTTATACCATTGTCATCCAGGACCAAATATGAATTTCCACTGAATTTTCCATTTGTGGTGAGACAGGAAAGACTGCTATATTCTGAATCCATATAGATTATACGCACAAGGAAGCTTTGGTAAAACCATTTTTTTACATACAAACCTCCAAGAATAGTTGGTATAAAATCATCTGAGAGCAATGAGAAAGTCTATGATGCCATTTTTAGAGTCACTTTTCAGGGTGTCACATGGCGCTATTTTAAAAGCATTTATGGTTAGTGGTAAATCTTACAAAATGGAGCTTGTACAATAGGAAATTTTGGTAGGAACATAACTTCCAGTTATTCTATTCAAGTGAGTATGTATTTATGTTCAGTGTGACCTTTTTAATATTTATTTCCTTAAATTTGCTTTCTTTCAGCAAGGCCCACAACTCCTCTTTCTGTAGGCACCATTGTACCCCCTCCAAGGCCTGCTTCAAGACCAAAGCTGTCTACTGGGAAGCTTAGTGGGATTAATGAAATAGTATGTATTGAATGTTTTTTTTAATTCTCCATTGTAACTTGACTTCAGATGCATCGTCCTGTTACGGTGGAGTTACTTTCCACCCAATGGTCAAGGAATCACATAAGCAGATATTCACCATTGCCAGATAGGCATGGAAGTTGTTCATGATAACTATATTACTATAACAATATATTTCTTAATAGAACTACAGAGGTTCAAAACATAATTTTTGCATTGGCTGAATGTTTTTAATTGAACAAATCAATAATTTGATAATGAAAGGATAGCATGTGTACGAGATTAAAGTTTTCAAAATGTGAAATACTATCAAAGTTATTAACAAAGCTTCATTGGTTTAGGGATATCACCAAAGCTTTGGGGAATAAGTGATATTAAGTAGATCTTTATGTCATGTGTTGACACAAGTAGCCCTGCTGTGACTTCTCCCTGCCCTTGGTGCTGGTTGGTGGAGAAGGGAGGTGGCCATTTGCAGCAGCTGCCCATCAGGATCGTGAGAGGTTGTACGCTGCCTGCATCACTGCTCGCTGCCTGCAGTGCAGGTCCACCTGCCGATAAGGAATGTGGCAAAGAATGCAAATACCCAGACAGCGTATCAGACCAAGCCAAGCTTAATCTCCACTGTGAGTATTAGGATTCTTTGGGGTTCATTTGACTTACTGACTTGGAAGAATTTTACCATGGTAAGATTCTTTCACTGTCTTTCAAAGTAGCAAGATATTTTCACCATATTCTTGTTATGGACAAAATTCTAGTCTTACGCTTTAACAAAACTGAAACATTTTTAAACTGTTTCGCATTTCTATAAGGTCAGAATAGGGTTGATTTTGAGATTCTTTTCTCATTCCGATATAAAGTTGTAGTAATTGCTCTAGACCAAGAAATCCGTTCTTCAGGTCGTTGTAATTAAAGAGAAGAATTTAGCTGTTACTGTTCTGCTACAAAGTATGATTTTGCACAAAGCGATATTCATTTTATACTGTTGTTTTAGAAATTCACTATTATCTGTATACAAGTGGAAGATTGTCAGTTGTCTTCATTATATACCAACTCCTTTTACAATTCCCATAGTCTATATAAAAGCCACATACCAAGCAACAAGCGTAGTGGTATAGAAATATAAAAAAAAAAAAAGTTACCCAGCCAAAATAGATGCTTCAGGAGTTCCAGTACTTTTCAGATAGGATAATCCCAAAACAATCATTGGTTAGTTTAATACCTTAACAGTTAAGTGAATCATAAAACCATACAGAGATTTAGGATGGAAGGGACTTTTGAAGACCTCTAGGCCCACCTCCTGCTCAATGAAGGGCCAACTTCAAAACTGCATCAGGTTGCGCAGGGTCATGCTGAGTTTTGAAAATCTCCAGAGAGGGTGATCTTACAGTCTCTTTGGGCGGCTTGTCCCAGGGTTTAACCACAAGGTTACAAGAAGGAATTTTTTCTCTAAGTTCAGCTGAAATTTCCTTTGTTGTAGCTCATGTGTCTCTGAAAAGAACCTGACTCCGCCTTCTTCGTACCCACTTTTAGATAGAAAAAGACTGCTAGTAGATCCCTCCCTAGGCTTCTGTTCTCCAGGCTTTACAAACCCAGGTCCTTCACCCTGTCCCCCTCTCTCATGTACTGCAGTCTCAACTATTTTAGTTGTCCTCTGCTTGGACTCCCATCCAGTTCGTTAGTAGCTTTCCTTTAGCTCTGTAAATCCACAGTTGCTGGAATTTATTCCAAAGGAAAAATGTGGGTTCTCTGTGTTATGCTAAAAACTAGGGTAGATAAAGCATTAAAAGAACTATGGTGATAAACACTATGAAATTGATTGGGGCATGAAATTAAGAATTCTTCTATTTGCAGTCTTTTTTTCATCTCTTTAAAGCCACTTTGTTTAATACTCTTGTAATGTCTCTTGTTCAGCCTAGGCCATTCAGCCCTCCATTGACCTCTAACTCAAGTCCACCTCCTGCAGCTCCCTTGGCACGTGCAGAGAGCATTTCCTCAATATCCTCTTCTGCTTCCCTCAGTGCAGCAAACACACCTACCGTTGGTAAGTTAAATTAACCATTTTAACTTATTTTAGAAGTAGCATAATTTTGACACTAGGTTCCACCTGTTAGGAAAACCATTCGTTGGAGTTAGTTGTTCTATACGTGAGTCCAGTCTAGGTACTTCAAGCATCCTTTGCAATACCTGCTTCTAAATGACACTGAGAGACAGGATGATGGATTTAATTGGATTAGACCATAGATCTGATTATGACATCTTCTTCAGGGAAATATTTTTTTCAAAATTAATATTTCATGAATTCTTGTTTGGTATGGTTGTACATCCATTCATCAGGCACAATGTGTTATGTATTTGTTCAGAAGGTGTTATTGTATAGGTGCAGAAATATTTTGGGGTACTGATAAATGTGAAAAAATCTAAATGTTCACAAAATTGAGTTCTTTGACATTCTTTTTATTTTTTTTTAATCCCTTAATTGCAGTTTCCAAAAAAATGAACCTAATGCATTTTTTTCTTCAAGTTAGTGAAGTATATAAGCTAAACAGAGGTGTTTAGTAAAAGCAAAACAAACAACCAAATAAAAAAGATGAAGATGAAAAGCAAATTGATCTTCCTGTGTTGCCACTAATTGCAGAAAGTTTTATCATGTTTTTAAGGGGAAGTCCTTCAGTTTTGGTACTTGGTTATACTAAATGAAAAGGAGACTTACTAGGTTTGTTGGGGTTTTTTTTAAACGACATTTTAACTTGTTTCTTTAGCAGAACTGGAGTACTTCATTCCTAACACTATTATCACTTTAGTCCCAAGTTAGATCAGATTCTTGAGCCAACACTGAGTTATCTGTGAATGTTACTGATACCAAGGATTCCTTGCCCAGGCTCAGCAGCCCAGGAGAGCATCTGCACAGCTTCTAGTGGGAGTTCTGCACTGAAAGCAGTGCAGCTGTTTCCACCCTGTGCTGGACCGAAGCTCGTAAGGTCTGCCCAGCATTAGCTGCTACAGTTCAGTGTCCACTAGTTTCCCGAATGCTGAGAAGCATCACAGAAAGATAACTGATATTTGGTTGCGAAAGTCTATCCAGGCTCACATCCTCAGGCCTCAGCACTGATACCAAGGAACCAAAATTTGGTGGCAGCAGCATCAATAGCCCCAGCTCTGAGTGTGTGTATTGTTGGAGACATTGACAGAGTGAAATCATGAGGTGAGGGAGGAGGTAAGGAGGTGTGTGCTGACACTGAGGTTTGACATGGTTATTAACCTGGTCTAGCAAAAATACAAGGCCATTTCCATCTGCACTGACTGTATGAATTCAGTAGTCCTGGAGAGCTGGGAAGGGCAGTGCATTCAGCTGAGTGACTTTGGGGCATGAGAATATACCCTGCACTGCTGTCTATTCTTTTGACTTTCACGCAATCCAGTGTTTCCTTTACCCTATTGGTTCTGAATAACGGGAAGTTGACACTAATTATCTTTTTCCAAGTAAACTTTAAGGCATGCATAATTGAATGTTTCTTTTATGCTTTAGCCTTATTTTTATTTGCAAAGTATTTTTATATATTAATTTTTTAACATCTATTTTTGCTTGAAGTATTTTGTTTTCTTGCAATCTTTTGTTTCATTTAAATGTAATAGAGGATGATCTTTTGATTGGAAATCTTCCTACAATTGAAAAGCTTTGTGAGACACCACCAGGTATTGTACTCAAAACAGATTTACATGTTAACTAATCTACTACATCTAATAAAACTGTATTTCTTTTAAAACAAGTTTCTCCAGCTATTTCTGGTATCTGGCAGACACAAGGAGCTCCAAAGCTCAACTACTGAACAAGTTATATACGTTGCTGAAATCACCAAAACTTGATATAACCACTTTTATATAATTTGATCTATCTGCTTACCTCCCCAACCTCCCCCCCCCCCATACTGAAACTTGGTCTTATTTCTTCGGTTTGTCATTACTACTTTCTTTCAAGTGAAGCGAATACATTTGTACTTTGACAATCCTTGTTCTCATAAGACATGTAGGTTAAAATGTTTCTATGTTTACATATAATGTAAATCTTTGAAGATACACATAATAAAAGTAGTCTTTTTTTAAAATAAAACTCAGCTGTTGAGAATCACAGCTTTTATTTGTAGTTTTCGGGGAGAGAAGGAAAACTTTGGAAATATGACCCATGTATTGTCTGAAAGAATAAATAAAACCAACTTAATGTTCATATTGAAAAAATATATAAATCATTGTTTTGTAGCCAGTATCATAGTATTTTGTTCATCTAAGAATTTCTGGTTTTGAACACTTGTGACTAGAGCATTATAGAGTATAGTATTATAGAGCAATATTATATGAAAGTATTTTATTTCTACTTTATGGTATGAAAGAAAAATCTCTCACTGAGCTCATTAAACAGAAAGACTACCTCCCTTGTAATAGATAATATTATTTGATACAGGCCATTACAGCAGTGGTACAAAAAAATTAGTAAGATGCTCTTCACTGTGCTGCTGCACTAATAAAAAGACAGAACTTCCAGTATTGTCTTTTATATTCAGTACACATATAGAAAATTCCTGAAAAGTAAAATCCCATGACAACTGGTTTCATCAATTGTACACACGCGTTTCTAAAAGCCTTAGCATGAGGTCTGAGTTGATTTTTATAGCTATGCATTGGAACTGTGTTGTGTTGGCACAGGCATCTGTGAAGGCTGCTCCAACAACTCCTGCTGGGGAATTGTAATCTTTGTTGGCTGAAATAGTTACAGGAATGTTCAGCAGTTCACTTATGTGGGGTAATATTAATGTATTTGCATTTAAGTTCATGCATACTGAATGGATTTGTTGCATTTCCGTGACCATTTTATCATGCATTTTTCCATACAATAAGCATACAGTAGGGATTTTTTTTAAGTATTCTAGTCAATGTCTAATTTCCTTTGGATCTGTTGACTTCACTGTCATCAGTAGCCATTTTAGTGCAGTGTTGCTGTGTCTCATATGTATATCCTTTGTCTGTCCATTTACATAATGTCATACTGATAGTCCTGTTTTCTTGGGCTGCTAAGCAGTGTTTTGATGGTACCATTGTCCTGTGCTATGTTTATATTTTTCTACACACTTTTCAAGTAAAACTTCAGATGCTACTGTGACCTTGATGGTAGTAACCTCTTGTGACAATTACAGATGTAGTCAACCATTCTGAAATCTATTGCTAAGCTTTTTAAAAATTAAACCTATACACTGTATGTATTCTAGGTGTTTCACGTGGTCCCAGCCCTGTCAGCCTTGGAAACCAGGACACCTTGCCTGTGGCAGTAGCCCTTACTGAATCTGTTAACGCCTACTTTAAAGGAGCAGATCCCACGAAGTTAGTTAAATAGTGAATTGTTTTGAATGTAAAAAGTTACAATAAGAAAACACACTGGTTGTACTTTTAATATTTGGGGGGAAAATGTATAGCCATTAGAAGGGGGATTCAAATGGGGTTTTTTTCCCTAGTATAAGTGACAACAGTGGCTTATTGCTGTGTGTTGGCCTGCATCCCACTAGAAGTTCATATATCCCTGCTTTACAAAAATGTGTTCAGTAAGAACAATGACAATGAGAAGGATTTTTATCATAGTCAGGTAGGTGCTACATGAATTTGGGCAGCTAAAAGCACCTCATTCCCTCTGTCACATCCCTTGCTGTGCTACTTAGGCCTTGCCTAAGCATAGTTGTGCCATTTTTTCAAAGCCTGAAAAATATCCACCAAGTCTACTGTATGCTTGATCAGCTAAATTTTTTTCTGTACTTATTTCATCTGACTTCCAAGTTGAAAGTGACAGTACATTGTCACATTACCCTCATTTGAAATTAATTTTCTGCTTTTAATTCAGTTCATCAGATTGTGAAAGTACAGTGATTACTTTAAAATTAGTATTAAAACTGGGCAGTTAATGAGTTGCAATGAAACTGATGTTTTCATTCTCTTCTAGATGTATTGTGAAGATTACTGGTGATATGACAGTATCATTCCCAAGTGGGATTATTAAAGTCTTCACCAGCAACCCATCTCCAGCTGTGCTCTGCTTCAGGGTAAAAAACACAAGCAAACTAGAGCAGATTCTTCCAAATGCACAACTTGTATACAGGTTTTGTATTTTTTTTAATATAATAGTAAACTACATGATTTGTAGAATGTGAGTTGTTGTATATGTAAATTAGAATTCTCTGCAGTCTATAGTTTGTAAACATAGGTGTGTTTTTACATGCATTTCATAAATTATTTCTTTATACAGTAGTAACAGTGGTAAAAAATGATGAAACAGTAGCCTTAAATGGAAAACAAGTAGTAGGAGCTAGACCTAATCTAATTTGTCACTTACTAGTGAATTTCTTAAGCTGTGTCATTTCTACAGTAGATCCAATCCGTTACGTAACTGTGTCTCTCTGGTGTGTAGCAGCATGCTTGGGAGAATTCTTAAGAAAAAAGGCTGCTGATTGAGTAGGATAGTTGTTGAAATCACAACACTTGGAGATCTTTTATTTAAAAAAAAAAGCTGTAATTATTTGGCAGAGATCTGTTTCAGCTGAACCATTTCTGTTTCATTTATTGGACAAATTATTAAAAAAATCAGTCAAATGCTTTTAGATGCCACATTTTTTTAAATTATGGAAATAAACAAAGAATCAAGCCATATTCATCCATTCTTTTGTATTTAATTTCATTTTGATCATTCAGACTTAACGTAATGAATGATTCATACAAAATTAAATGTAATTGCTTTTTGACATGACAGTTTATAACTGAAATGTTAGCAGAGCTGTATCTGACAGTGAATTATACTCAAAAAGTGTATTTTCAAAAAAAAGTGAAAACGTCTAATATTCTTGTCCGAGTGTTGTAACACTTCACCTTTAGTTGGAAAGGATGCATATAATGGATGTATGTACAAAGCTAAACCCCTATAGTATAATCTGACTTTTCATCATATACTGCAAAGCGTATAATTTGTTTGTCATTTATAAAGATTGAACTTTTTAACAAGAGTGGTATTTCTGGTGATGTCAGAATTTCTGATTTTAATTGCACTTGGTTGTGGAGAAGCAGAAAGATTTTAACACTGGTTTCATTTGTTTAAATTATGGAAGGCCTCTGTGTTAAGTAAGCGTTTATCTATATTTTTTACTGAAAATGGAAATTTCATGAATCACAACAGTGTATTGAGAACCAAATTCTAAGTAAATTGGACAGGCTACTGATACGTAGGTCACTGTTCTGGGACATTCAACCCATTGTGGTCATATTTACTGTTCCAGGTGCTCATTGTCAGCTTTCACTCTGCAGGCACATTCTGCACACCTCCTTAGGGATGGATGCAGTTCTTCACTGTATGCACAGGCATTCAGAGGAGGTCTTTGTTTCTGAAGTGATTTGAATTTTATTTTTGAATCACTTTTCTTAGAACCTGCATTCTTGATAAACCTGGTGCAACCAGGCTGAAAATGTTCTTGATCTGCAGAACACCATGCTTCAGTAACTCCCAAACAGGATTTTGCTTCTATAGTCACGGCAGTTCCCAGTTCTTACCTATGAGTGATATAATAAATTGTTACTAAGATTGAATGCAACTCTAAGTATCTGAGAAAAAAATTGTTTGTAATAATTTGAAAATCACTTTTAACTGAAAAAATTTGAACGCTTACACTCTCTACAAATATATGAAAGTACTGTAACACATACAGCGCAAATATTAACTCAGCGCATACGTGAAGCGATGTCATTTCCCAAGCTAGTTACGATTTTAGGACTTATTCCAAATTGGAACCTGTTCCTTTTCAAATACCGCTTCCATCCCCACCTCCCACTCGTCCTCACAGCACCTAATTGTATTAAAATTGTGTTTTATTAAATGTAAAACACAAGTTGAGTATTAACTCCATTTTGTGATGCAGATCATCAGTGGAGGAAACGCACTGCTCCACAAACTGGAAGGAGACATTTTACCATATACAACAAGCAGTTAATTTGTCTCAGTATTTAGGAAGGTACAGTTGTGTTATAAATCATGAGAACACATTCTTGCTTGAAATAGTGAAGAAGGGGAAAGATCTAGTCTTAGTTTTTAGACATCCAAAATAATAAAACTCAGTGTTGCCTTCTGGCTCCTACCTTTCTTTTTCTTTGTAGTGATCAGTCACAAAGTGACTCCAGTACTAAGGATTTTTGGATGAACATGCAAGCTATAACTGTCTACCTCAAGAAATTATCAGAGCAGAATCCATCTGCATCCTATTACAATGTGGATGTTTTAAAGTATCAGGTAAACACTTATTTCCCTTTGGAATTTTTTAAGGAACTCTGGGAGATTTGATATCTACAAGGAAACTAAAAGAATGGTTCTTTGCCTGTGAGCATGCAGATGAACTGTCATCCCTCGCCTAGACCAGTTCTGAGTTTGTCACTGTTTACAGTGTGTAGGCTCTGCCCAGCCTGAGTGCATTCCTCATGTCATTCTCTTGGATTCATGACCTGTTTCAGCTTGCTCACATGTCAATCCAATTCATGTGTACAGGCTTCGGACGCTACTTATTTAGGTATTTGTTAGCACAGTCAAATTTTCCTTGAATTTAGGAGGCTTGGTGGGCGTTTGTTTGTGTTTGTAGTTGTAATGTCTTTGATTTTGTATTGTAGCTGATGAATTGTAATATATGAGAACGTATGACATTCTGACCTCTCACAATATAATGGAACATCTCATGCTGGAAACCATTTACAGGCACATGAAGGACAAGAAGGTCATCAGGAGTAGTGAGCATGGATTTGCCAAAGGAAAGTCGTGCTTGACCAACTTGATAAACTTCTGTGAGGCAATGACTGTCCCTGGATGAGGGGAGAGCAGTGAATATTGTCTACTTAGACTTCAGGAAGGCTTTCAGCACTGTCTCCCATAGCATCCTCATAGAGAAGCTGGTGAAGTAGAGGCTGGATGAGCAGACACTGAGGTGGATTGAAAACTGGCTGAACGGCAAGGCCCAGAGGCTGATTTGAGGCCAGTAACTAGCAGTATACCCCAGGGGTCAATACTAAGTTTACAGTCCTGTTTAACAGCTTCATTAATGATTTGAATGGTGGGGCAGAATGTACCATCAGCAAGTTTGCTGATCACACCGAACTGGCACAACCCTCTGGATACACCACAGGGTCATTGTGCCATCCAGAGGGACTTTGACCGGCTGGAGAAATGGGCTGACAGGAACCTCATGGAGTTCAACAAGAAGTGCACCTGGGGAGGGGAACAACCCCATGCACCCATATATGCTGGCAGCCACCCACCTGGAAATCAGCTTGGCAGAAAAGGACCTGAGGGTCCTGGCGGACACCATGTTGAATATGAGCCAACAATGTGCCCTTGCTGCGAAGGCAGCAAATGGTCTCCTGGGCTGCATTAGGCAGCATCACTAGTAAGTCAACAGAGGTGATCTTTCCCCTCTATTCAGCACTGGTGAGGCCACACTTGGTGTACTGTGTCCAGTTCTGGGTTGTCCATTGAAATAAAGACATGGACATACTGGAGAGAGTCCAGTAAAGGGCCACGAAAGCAATGAGGGGTCTGGAGCATCCGTCCCATGATGAAAGCCTGAGAGAGCTGGGACTGTTCAGCGTGGAAAAGAGAAGGCTCAGGGGGGATCTTATCAACAGCTATAAATAAAGGGAGGGTGTAAAGAAAATGGAGCCAGGCTCTTTTCAGTGGTGCCCAGTGACAGGACAAGAGGCAACAGACACAAAATGACACAGAGGAGGGTCCGTCTGAACATCAGGAAACACTTTTCTACTATGAGGGTGACTGGTGACTGAGCACTGGCACAGGTTGCTCAGGGACCTTGGAGATACTCAAAAGCCATCTGGACTTGGTCCGGAGCAGCTGGCTAGAGGTGGCCCTGCTTGAGCAGAGGGGTTGAACCAGATGGCCTCCAGAGGCATCTTCCAACCTCAGCTATTCTGTGACTGAGAAGGTGCTCCGGCGTCAATAAAAAGTCTTCATGAAAAGTCAAGACAGACAGACTCACCTCAGAGGGAGAATAGGGAGTTCGTAGGCCTGCACTGAAATGTTTGAACATCTGAGACAACAGTCTACATCAAAAACCAAAATAACCTGTCAGTACAGCTATTAATACCATTGTATTTTCCACATCACCCCAATATAGTTTAAAATTTTGGCATACTGAATCTATGAAAAGCATGTTAGGCGCATAAAATTTCTCAGAAAGACGGAAGGAACAAAACATTTCTTTGGATTGCAGAAATGGGTACTGTGGAAGAACAATATCTATTTAAGGTCTTTACTGTCAGGGAGAAATGAGGCATTGGCATGCAGAAGCCCGGGCAGATAGAAAAGGTTCTGGGCCACCAGTCAAAGATGAAAGAGGGCACCAGGACGTAGAAGTGGACTAGGAAGGTGGTAGACGTGTAGCAGGGCAGTAGCACAAGCTCAGCTACAGCAGCAGTATACAGCCCTCCTGCAGCAGGAAAATAATGCTTGGGCTAGGAAGGAACTGGTGACAGTATTGCTCTCTGCTGCTGGCTGCTTGGGCAGCTGAATTGGTATGGCACACGGCTGCTGAGGATGAAGTCATTTTGCCACAAGCATGTTTCTTGTGTCAGGCAGAACACAAGACTAAAACAAAACTATTTTGACTTACAAAAGCAAGAACAGGAAGGAACCTCATGGGCCAGAGGGAGTTTAAACCTCTTCTTTAATTATTTTAATTTAAAATCAAAAGAACAGGAATTACTTTAGGCTGCAACAGTCTTCAGAATTCTGCGATTAAGGACTCAGAAGTCAATTGTTCTCTTGATCTTTTGTCAGGATTTGGAGTTATATTCATTACCATCATTCCCTAATTCTGCCCAAAAGGGGAATATTTTAATTAAGCTGCTTTCAATGGTTTATTCTTTTACAGGTATCTTCCAATGGCATCCAGTCCACTCCCTTGAATCTTGCAACTTACTGGAAATGTAATGCTAGCACTACTGATGTGAGAGTGGATTATAAATACAATCCAGAGTCTATGAATATGCCTAGTATGCTGTCTAATGTCCAGGTTGTGGTACCAGTTGATGGAGGAGTAACAAACATGCAATCACTTCCACCTGCAAAATGGTAATATTAATACTTTTCTTTTTATTATTTCAGATTCATTTCAGTGTATTCATTAGTGTCATAGACAGCCTGAAAAATTTCAATGGAAGAAATAGCTGATTTTTTTTTTTTTGTCTTGATAAAATGCATAGTATCAGATGTTTAGGACATGTTCTCGTCCAAAACAGATCACGTGCAGCCAATTCATATAAACTAAAATGAGAATTATCTCATTATGCACCCATTCCACCTGTGTAATATTACAAGCCTTTATGAAATTTCCAATGTTTGCTTTCTTTTGGCCAACAGACAGGATAGACATTTTTAATACAGTAATTTGAAACCAAAATCTCTTAACGGTTAAAAAACACTTTTTTTGTGTGTGTGTATATATATCCATATATATGGATTATATAGAGACAGTAGAAGAAACGCAGTTCTTAAAAAGATTTCTTGATTGTTCTAGCTTAAAAATTAGCTTCTAATTTAAATGATTTTAAAACAAACCTCAGTAACCGAGGAGCTCTTCATAAGCCAGGTAGCATTGTCTTTCAATTCAAGCATCATGCAGATTATTTCTGACTAGCAGCTACCTGCCACAGCCTTCTAAGCCTGCATTTACAGTAGCACTTGAAAGCGAAACACAGATCTCAGGTAATTATGTTTCTACAAGTCTGTGAAGACAAGCAGAAGGTAATGGGACTAGGCAGAGCAGTATATCCCTGGAGCAAAAGGTGAGCAGAATTCAACCACCGAGCCTGAGGCTTGGCAGCACGTAGGTACTTGCCCAGCTGTGATGTAATTCCTTGACTGTTTATTTCCAAGAGGGTCTTTTTAACGTGGAGATGGCAAAGAATACCCAGTTGAAGGAAGTCAGGTTTTGTTAACATTGTTACTTCTAGAGGAGTTTACCTTATAGAGTGAGGTTCAGAAGGAAAATAAACCTGATGCATTTATCAGATAGGTTCTGATGTTTCTGGAGGCAACACATTTAAATGTGTTAATTGGATAAAGTAGTAATACGATATCATTTTAAGTGGAAAAAATCTTAGCGAGACTGAATCTTTCTTGACTTGGTATTTCAAGAGAGCAATACTTTTAACCAAATCACCTTAAGCTTATTCTGAGCAAGGGCAGGTTCAGCATCCTGCCTGAACAACATCACTAGGATGTCTGGTGAAGCCAGTCTCCTTGCCCATGCTGCTGTTAGCTGGGAAGACTCAAATCTCAGTGACAGTTTCATTACAGGTTCATCAGATTAAGGGACTTGAGTCTAGATTGTCTCTTTTTCATCTAGGCAACCACCAAAGGCCAGAATATTGAGTCTGGAAAGCTGACAAAAAAAAAAAAATCATTACAGTCATGTCCCAGGCAGCTGTAGTATTGGTGTGGTGCTGCCTGTTTGGTCTAGTGGATTGGGTGGTGGGGTTTTGTTTTTTAAAAAATAAATGTTTTATAACTTGACCTCCTGCAAGTAACCACTACCATCTCTGCTACTTGTGTGAGCATTTCACTCCTGCTATACTAGTGCCAAAAGCAATTTCAAACATATCAGCACTTCATGCTGCTGGCAGCTTTAAGTTGTTGACTTTCCTTTGATAGAACTGCTGCAAAGTGCTCCAGGAGCTAAAATGCCCTGTCCGCTTAGAGACTCTGGTGCTTGGTGCCCTTTTCTGCCCCTTGACGGCATCAGAAGTTGGCTGAAACCCTGTGTTACGCCAACTAGTTTTACTAGAATGGAAATGGAATAGAATTCATGCTGCCAGGAGTCTCACGCAGGGGAGAGCAATCAACATTGCTCCCCCTCATACCGTCGTTTGGCCTGTCCTTGCTCTTTGAGACTACAGAGGGTTCTGAGTTGTGGAGCCATAGCCGGGGCATAGGACAGTGTTAACTGTGTAAAAAGGTGGTGTGTAATTCTGAGCTCTGCTGCTCTGGGGCAATGCAGACACACCTTTCTCTTTGCCTGTTTTCTTTGTACGGTTTTCCACATACTTACCTTAAAATGATCAAGTATTTTTGTAAACCTCCGTTTAGAGATGTCTGTAAGATACGAGTGTAAATCTAGGGAAACAATATGCTAAAACTGGTGCTTATACCTAACCTACCATTCTCTTACAGGAATGCAGACCAGATGAAAGCATATTGGAAAATATCTAGCATTTCAGAAAAGTCTGAGAATGGAGGCAAGTTGAACTCTTTTGTTTTGTTTTCTTGTACAGAAAAATTAAAACAGTAAAAAGGTAATCATTTTAGCCTCTACACTCTCATGCTTGTTTACACAGCTTCTCCTGGTGTATCCTGTTTACCAGTTCACCTTCTCAGTTAATTTCCTCCTGAGAGATTCCATTAAGATGTTAAAATATGCATTTATTAACTAGTTATAAAAGGAAAAATAGTGAAGCCCCCTAAAAGCTGTTAGTAGCTCTAAAATAGTTTAAACTGGGTAGGAAATTATTACATCAATGCTATTTGGAAATGAGCATTGACTCAAAGGAAAGTATGTTCAATATCTGTGTCTTTCCACACACTGACAACTGAAATAAAGTAGAAGGAGGTAAGTGGAAGAACTGGGGGGAAGAAAAGAAAAAAATCCAGAAGTCCGGTGCTGAGGTAGACTCAATAATAGATGACGCTTGACCAACACTTTAAGGGTCTTTGTTTTGACCATACGTGACTCCAGGAACAAAATGAATCTATGCACATCTGCTCAGACTGGTGATTTATATAGCATTTTGTAAGGTACCAATAGTTGTCCTCTGCCCAGCCGCCTTTCCCTGAGGTCCCGCTGATGCACAGTCCTTGCAGCCTCTGCAGGTGCAGTGTTTTTCATCCTCAAAGCCTCTGCAGAGAAATGAACTTGTGGTATAAAGGCAAGGCCTTTAGCCCTGTTAAGAATTTGGTGAAGTGCGTCACGAAAGCACAAAGTTGCTTGTAACTATGACTGGTTTCATACAGAAACTGCAAGCCTGGAAAGGGAAGACCTCTTTATTCCTGCAAAGGTCATCGTTCAGACAAAATCAGAGAGAATTTTATCTGACAGAGGTTGTTGCTGTGGTCTGGTGTACTTTGTCCTTCACTGACCTGATGGTTCTTTGCCATCTGGCTTGCATCATGATTACACAGGGATAGCCCTCTCTTTTTTTTTTGTTTTTCCCCTCCCCTTTCCAGACTGTGGAGTTTCCTTTAAAAGAACAAACCATACTAAAACACAAATGTGGCCAGTTGAAGAGCCACTGTACACCTGCAAAGCAGCATGAAATGGGCTGCCAGTGATGCAGATTGCATGCTGTGTGTGTTCAGTAGACTTGTACATATCCCACTGCTTCTGCTATATTCCCTTCTCTTCCCACCATCTCTCCTCCCCCTTTACCTTGCGTATAAACACATAGTACTCACAATCCAGTGTTTAAGAGGAAGTAATACTGTGCTGGTCTTACAGAAACAATGGGAGAAGTTGCACAAACACTGTTAATATTAGGACAAATGTCTTGAAGTCATCTTTATTCTGGTCTACAGGGTGATAAAATGTTTTGAGTTTTTTTTATGGTCCAACACATTACATGAGCTGTCAATTGCAGACAGAGATAAAACACAGACAAACTTTCAAAGCGCTTGAATATAGAAGTTTCCATGCTTCCAGTAGAAAGAAGTTCCAATTTGCCCAAACTATGACAGACTTACTGAAGAAATGAAATGGACCTTTAGCCAGTTTATGAAGAAGAAGCCATTGCATAAAACAATTTAATTCATTAACTCCTGCTTTTACCCCAGTAATATTTCAGTTACTAGCTTTCCTCATCATTTAGCAGTTCCTATTGACTAGGAATATCAAGGTGTTTTAAAGAAGTAAAAACACTTGACTTTCATTTTTCAATTATTAATTCTTTAAATCTCATTTTTCCCAGCATATTTTGCAAGAACAAGAAAAGACTTGTTTAAGAACTAGAAAAAGAGAGAAGTAACAATGTGGGGGGGGGGAGGGTTAAACACCTTGCATTGACTGCAGAAATGTACTTAAAGTGATTGTGAACTATTACTCCTTTATAGTAGCATTGAACTGATGACACTTCACCACTGTCTCTGTAGATTCAACTGAAATTTGTGGGGAAAAGTATTTAATCAGACCTGTCTTTATTAGAAAACTAAGAATTTCTTTCCTCTGAATACATTACTGTATAGCTGCATTTCTTCCAATTTGTTCATGTACATTCATCTGGACAGACTGTGACAACATTTAAATACTCTGATGTATTTTCAAATCTGCTAATGAAAAGTGCTACATATGAGATAGGTGGTATTAAATACCTACAGACCACCAAGCATGGTCTGTATAATAAATGATGATTATAGGGACCAGTCAGTTATTTCAAGTAGTAAGAGATTACTAGGCTGTCTGATACACACATTCTGTATAATCTTGCAGAACCTTGCAGAAATGTGTATCATTTCTTTTTAAATCATCACTAGTCATTCTCTTAAATAGAGTGTTGGAAGAAACAGACTTGTGTTCTCATCTCTTGGGCAGATGAGGATCAGATCAGATATGATGCTGAGGGATCTGGACAGACTGGATCAATGGGCCGAGGCCAAGTGGATGAGTTTCAACAAGGCCAAGGGCTGGGTCCTGCACTTGGGTCACAACCACCCCACGCAATGCTGCAGGCTTGGGGAGGAGTGGCTGGAAAGCTGCCTGAGGAAAAGGACCTGGGGGTGCTGGTTGACAGCCGACTAAACACGAGCCAGCAGTGTGCCCAGGTGGCCAAGAAGGCCCACGGCATCCTGGCTTGGATCAGGAATGGTGTGGCCAGCAG